CGGTGCCATACGTCCCCCCGGCCCCCCCCCTGCCATGGGCACCTGGTGTGAGCACCCATGGATGCCTGGCAACCCAAGACAGCTCTTTGACTTATGGGCCAGGCTGGAGCTGAGGATGTCCCCTGTGGTCGCTGCCTGCTTCAACCCTGGGAGCTTTCCCCCAGAAGGGTGCAGGCTCAGACGTGCCTGTCCCCACTGCTTCATGGCTGGGTGCCTGTGTGGGAGCGCATGGGGAGGGGAAGGGGCCAGGGCTGGCTCAGCTGATCCCTGCCTCCAAGGGGAGGAAGCTGGGGGCGGGAGACAGATGGGTTTCCCTCTGTGGCAGAGATGGGCACGTTTCATTTCCACCCCAGCTCCTGCTGCGCACGTCAGAGAACAAGCTGCTGCTGTGGGGAAGGAAGCACAGAGAAGAGCCGGGGTGGCACGGCACAGCAGATCTGCCCGGGCAGGGGACTGACTGGCTCGCCATGGCTCTGGTTACCTCGAAGACGACGTGGGGCAGCGTGGAGGTGGCCCTGACCAGGCTCTGCAGTGTCCTGCTCTGCTGCGGCCCCATGCTGGCTGGCTGCCGCCGGGGTAGGTACTGGAGCATGGTGTGCTTGCGACACAGCCTATGTCATTCGCAGCCAGTGGAAAATGTCTATGGGCTGGGAGCTTTGTAGTTAAAAATAGCCCTGGCATCAAGGAGGCAGAAAACCCAAACCTTTTGGGTACATGCGGCTCAAGCAAGCGGAATGGTGATGATGCTTGGGGCAGAAGCAAGGTTAAAAGATGGAGAAGGGGACAGGTTGCCAGCCTGTGGTGCCAGCACCAGAGATGTGCTGTGGGCACAATTGGCTGTGGCTGGGGTTTGATGTTGAGCCTCTGGGTTTGCCAGCACCATGCCAGGTTTGGGGTTTTCTGCTCTGGCTCTCACAGTTTCAGGCTGTGCCTCCTGGTTTAGATTTGACCCTGAGGGAGCCAGGGTCCTGCATGTGCTTTTGCTTAGGACGAAATCAGGGAGGAAAAGGAGGCAGAGGGGAAGGAGTAAGTCTGGGCAGAGCAAGCAAAAGCCCTGATGAAACCATGTCCCCACCTCCTCCCAGACCATCTCTCTCTGTGGTCACTTCGGGTGTTTTCTGCCTCAAGGGTGGGTGCAGGTCTGGGAGCAGATGTTGCTTCCTGTGCTGAGAGGATGCAGGGAAACATGTAAATCCAACCTCTGCTTTCAGAAGTCCTCTAAGTGCTTCTTCTCTCATTGTTGGCAGTGGCACTGGTTAGGAAGTAAAGACCCAAACCTGCAGAATATTTTCTGTTAAATGCAAGAAACTCAGAACACTACAAAAACTACATCTCTCAGTGTGGGCACCTAGCTGTCAGTGGCTGTTTCTGAAAAGAGAAGATAAACTTCTTAACAGCAGGGACTTTTCAAACCAGTGGCAGTTTGAATCGCTTGGTCAGATAACCCATGTGAAAAATGCTTCTTCCTGCTTTTTATTGCTCTAAGCCAAAGTTAATGCAGCAGCTGCCTTATCCTGCTGGATGGAGCTGGCTGAGCTGGGACCTTGTGAGCCTGGCCCATGTTCGTGGCATCCCTGCTGCCTGGAGGGGATGAATCCACTGAGTTCACAGACAGGGAAATGTGGCAGAGCAGCAAGGGCTGGTGCTAAGGGCCAGGGAGGTGGCGGTGATGGCTCTGTGCTGGGAGCAGCTTGCAAGCCAGGTCAGGACCCCCTGGTGTAGCTGGCTGGCTGGCTGCTCACGTACATGTGGGGAGCTGGGAAGGGATGGTTATTGTAAGCTCCAGGTTTCTCTGCCCTTTCAGATGGTCTAGGGCTGGAGATGGCAAATACGGTGCCCTGGTCAGCCCATGCTGTGTCCCAGCACAGAGCAGTGGGCAGAGCTGGAGCACCCCACAGGCAGCTGGGCACACAATGGGCTGCACCACAGGGTACTGCCCCAGCCCAGTACTGAGTCCCGGGGGTCCCTCTGCTCGCTTTCAGAGGCAGCACCAGCTGGAGGGAGGATGACTCAGACATTAACACACAGTATAGATCTAAAAATAATACAACACCCAACTGTTTTCCCTGGTACAGGTATTCAGGGTTAATTTTAGGTGGCCCGGAGCACAACTTGCTCTGCTGAAACCACTTCTTGGTACAGTTACTACCCAAGGATCCTTTTTCAGCTGGCAGGCACAGACTCAGGAGGGAAGAGACAAGGGCTGATGTATCTCCCTGAGATCCAGAGTGATGCCGCAGACTGGCCCTGCATCCCTGGTTCCCAGCAGGGAGTACAGCTGTTTCTGAGACCTGTGCCTGCTGTAACCATGTCTGTGTCTTATTTCGTCTCTCCCAAACAGTGACCTTCTTCCCAGCAATGTTAACTCTCCCTGCAGGTGGCTCAGCCACCTTCTTCTGCAATATCTCCATGGAGAACGACTCCAGCTCAGAGTACAGCCTCAACTGGTACAAGGAGACCAACCATAGCCAAGCCCAAAAAATCGCTGAGATCAACCCCCAGATCAGCCAGATCAACCGCCAGATGAAGACAGAGAAGTACCTGCTCACCAACCATACTCCTGCCTTCAAGATTGAGATCCTGAACCTCCACCAGAACGACTCAGGCTCCTACTTCTGTGGACTGATCACCTTCTTTGAACCTGATAAAGTGATGGAGAGCAATAGGTCCCAGTTGGTGGTCACAGGTCAGCCTGGGGACTGAGCTGATGGGGACCTATGGTGCTTTCAGGCATGCTATAGGCCCAGGGCATAAGGCAGACACTACTCTGGTAGGGGAGGACCTGCTGTGGATCAGAGGAGCACAGCTCTGTCCTTTCCCCTCATCTTTGCATGCAGGGTTGAGGCCCAGGGAGATAGACTCTCCTTCCATATCCACACTGCGGCTGGATCTAGTCCTGAGGCCAGAGAGCTCCAGTCTGCTGGGCTGTCCCCTATGATGTTGTGGAGTGGAGCGACTCCTGACTCATGGATGGTAGCAATAGACGAACATAGGAAGCTGCTCTCTCCCACAGATGGAGGCAGGAGACCAGTGTAGGGAGCTGCCTTCACACCTGAACAGCTCTTCTGGGGATAGGGATTGTGTTTGGGATGGTGACCAGACCTGAGACCCCTCAAGCAGCTAGTGTTGGTGTAGATACTGTTGTTGCAAAACCATGCCCTGGGAGGGTGTCGTAGCTCCATGGCGTGGGAGACTGATTTTGCAACAAGATCTGCCATGCTCTTGCTTGTCAGAATGGGGGCTTTGTGAAACTGAAGGTGACCTTTTATAAAAAGGGGAAACACAGCAGAAGTCACTGTCTTTCACAACATCTGTTCCCAATGTGAGCTGATGCTGTGCTGGCCTGAGCACATGGTAGCAGTGGGTAAGCTTGTGGAAGCCGAGTCCTCTTATGGGCTCTGCCAGGCAGGGAGTCATGCTGTAGGACTGCCTGTGGGTGCAGAGCAGTGCCCTGACCCCCTGCACCCCAGGTCTCACCACCTATAATGGGAAGGAATGGGACACGGCCAAAACATCCGCCATGTCATCCTAAATTCAGGGCCTCTGGAGGGATGGCGAGGCTGTAGCAGTCTGCCTGGGACCAAGCTGTTTCAGAGAACAGCCCCCATGTTCCCCGGTTGCCTTTCACAAGGACTATAAGAGCCCATTTTACACTCCTGACCTGCTGTCTTGTTCCCACTTTTATGGGTGGCTATTGCAGCAGCCTCTGAGAAGGTGAATGCTACTGATGAGCCCGAGATGGAGGAAAGCAACCCCCCAGACTATATCAAGGCCATGCTCCTGGGGATCCTGTTGCTGGTTGGGGTGGTTGTGCTGCTGATCTTCGGCTACCTCACCATCATGAACAGGAGAGGAGGTACGATCCCCCGCAGAGGCCATGCTGTGCTGAGGGGCTGGGTTCTGGCAGGGGACCTGATGGGTGATGCTCATCCAGCAAACCCAGCTGGGACCTGGAGGCAGCCAGATGCCTGCAGCTCCCTGGGGTACATGGACTGGTTCAATGTGCTAAACTCAGCTGTGGCATGTCCCCATGGGACAGGTATCTCCATGACTAGGGGAGAAGGGTGCTTTGGGCCCTGCTTGCCCTTCATAAAGCCCCCAGACCACATGGTGTGGCTCTGCACTACTCATTAGTCTGGTGTGTTATTGCCGTATGAGTCCCTTCCATACACCTTGCCCAGGCACCTCTGGCACTTTCATCATCTCCCTGCTGTGGGCACCTGTGGAGCTTTCCCAGAGGGGACCCCTGAGGAATTGTACCCCACTAATCCCAATTAAACCCTGGGCTGATATCTCACTTGTCATTGTAATGTTCAGTGTATTAGACCCTGAGGGGAGGAGGAAGCGTGGTGCAATGATTGTGGTGTCCAGTGCTCTCATAAGACACAGGGACTGGATCAGCCCTAGATGGTCACACTGACTTGTCACACAAGCATCTTCTAACCAAACGTGTTACTTCGTAGGTGTACAGAAACCACGAAGTGAAAACAGCCCAGTGGTGAGTTTTCTGTCTCAGATGCCCTGCCGTGCTGCAGAGGAGCATCATGCCATTGCTGGCATGCAGGGCCTCCCTTTATCAGCCCTTTACAGGCTTCTTGCTTCTTCTGTCTTTTCTGATGCTGCTTGATCTTTTCTGCACAGCTACAACTGCTTTTCTGCACCTGCAGCACAGCCCATCCAAAATTAAAGTAACTGTCTGGGATAGGATGAGACCTCACTAGTTCAACCCTTGCTCAAAGCAGGCTTATCTTTAACAATGGATTGTGTTGCTGTAGAAAATGGGAGGAAATGTGCGTTGCTCCCTCCCTCTCCCCAGTACATTAAGCTAAAATTTATTTGGCTGCAGCTAGCATCTGTTTCCTCTCTTCTTTTTGCCAGGCACCTCCATGAGGACTCTGGCTCCATCTTCTCTCCAACCCCATTAGATAGCTGAAGGCAGTGAGTAGGTCCCCTTTGCTCCCTGTCTCTCTGGGCTGAGCAAACTCAGCCCCATGGTCTCCTCATGCATCCCGTGTCAGCTCAGAGAGGTGGGAAAAGGGCTCCTAGCACAACCCAGCCTTCCATGACTGGGTAAGCAGCAACCCTAACCTGCCTGCAAAGGCAGAGAGCTGAAATCACATGGCTTCAGCAGTGACCCCAAGGCTCATGGCCCAGTTTCACTGGGCAATTGCTATCACAGGTCTGTGTGCCTTTCTTCTTTGTATTGCTCTTGCCCTCCTGGAATGCTTCAGAGCTGGTTTTGGCACTTGCTGTAATAAGAGGGTTTGTGCTGGGGATGGCAGGTACCTCCAGATGATGAATCACCCCAATGGGATTTCCTTGCAGGAGGAAGAGAAGCCCCCTGTGGTGTCCGTGTCCACTGTGGACTATGGTGTGCTGGAGTTTCAGCGGGACCAGCATATCCAGGTCCCCCCTGAGACCTCACCAGTTGACCACACTGAATATGCCACCATCATCTTCCCGGAGGAGAAACCTGTCACACCAGAGCGGGGGAAGAAACACCCAGACAAGAAGATGTGGCAGCTGCAGTTCCAGCCCTGCTGAGGCCTGGGGTCCCTCCTTGCTTGAGGGGTGCAGGCAGGGATAGGCTGCCCTGGCCTCTCGCTCCCACCACAAGTTGTAGTTGGGAGAAGCCCAGTGTGCCAGGACTGGAGTGAGAGGTGCCACTGCTGGGCTTGACATTAGACAAGTCCTGCCTGTCGTGAGACCATGGCGTGGGTGCCAGGAGACATGGAAGGTCCCTGCAGGGCTCCTCATGCCACCTCTTCGTTCAGGGCAGGGAGGACAGGCTGTGGTGGAGCAGTGATGCCAATGGATCTGTCCCAAAGGTGATTTACATCATACCTCAATTTTTCTGCCTCTACCTGGTGTTCTCTGGAGTGGACATGCTGCTTCCCTCACCCAGGTCTGACCCAAGCATGACTGCAAGGAGGAAATGCTGGAGGCCAAAGCTGGAGCAGAGCCTGGGAGATGCTGCACACAGGAAACCAGAGCAGAGACTGCCTTGTGTACAGCTATTTAAAGAAGCCCTTGGGAAGCAGGCAGCTGGTTCTCCTCCTGCCTCCAGGCACTTCCCTCCTCTGCAAGGGGGGAAAATCTACACCTGTGTCCCTCCCTCCAGCAGGTGGGAGGCAGATTTGGCCCTGGGGGTAAATAAAGGGTTTCATATTAGGGGACTCTGTTACCTTGTGATGGCAGGCATGCGGGCAGCCGAGTAACATCTCTTGGCAGCATGCAGGCAAGAGCCAGGAGGCAGTAGCATCTGTTGTGGTTCCTAGGCCTCTCAGTGCCATACACAAGCTGCTCTTTATAACGCAGAGAAGCTGCCACTTTTTTTCCTCTTGCCCCTGTCTGAGCTGGTCACTGGGGTGCAGCTGCAAATGAAGTCCTCCCTTACCAGGCTCACCTGGGGGCACTTGCACAGCTCATTAGGGATGATCATCCCTACCTGTGCTAGGGGCCTGGCTGCCATCAGCCAGGGCAAAGCTTACAGCATGGTACTCCATGCAGCTTTCCTGCTCCATTTTCCCTCTTGAAAGCAATGCTGGGGCCATGCTGCCTGCCAGAAACCAGAACAGAAAGAAGTGACACTGCTTGAGAGGGGAGAAACCCTGGTAAAGTGTAGGTTTGGAGGCAGCAGAGACCTGCTGCAAGACCACAAAACCCAGAGAAGGGTCACTTGCATCTCACATTTTAGCAGCACTGTCAGCAGGTTTCATTTTCCTTTATTCCCCATAAAACCAGTGCAGCCAGCCTGGGTGCTGAGGGAAGTGGTGAGACATGACAGGCAGTGCGTCCCCTGCAGGGAGCTGGAAAGTTCCCAAGAAGCCTCCAGAGGGGACCAGACAGGACAAACATCCATGTGGGATGGATTTCACCCTTCCTCAGGGCAAGACGGTGGATATGGTGGCCCCCCTTGATAACCAGTGCCACTGAAGGCTCCCAGTAACTCCCACAGCATTCATTCATGCCAGTGCCTGGCTCAGCCTGTCAGGGTTTTCTGCAAGCAGCAACCCCACTCCTTGCCCTGATGGCTCTGGCAGAGACCTGCAGTGGCCAGCCAGGCTCGGCTCACCCAGAAAACCAAGGCAGGAGGCAGCTGCAGCAGCTGAGAAGCAAGAGCTCAGTCAGCAGTTTTGCTTTGGGCTTTCCTGTCAGAGGCGACACCAACGAAAGGATGGGTCCTGCTTCATATTTTCCATCCTGCCTCTCAGGCAGCAGAGGTGCTGGGTCTTCAGCCCTTCATGCACCCCTGGCTGCAGCTGTGGCTCCTCCAGGAGCAGTCAGGGCTGGGTCCCTTGCCCTCTTGGTGGATGGTGGTCTGCTCCCAAGCCAATGGAGGACTAGCAAAAGCATCTCCCACTGCCATTTGAGAAGGGAGAGCACCCAGCCCACAGCAGTGTCTGTGCCCTTGTGGCCCCCCAGCAGACTGGCTGCAATCTGCCCCTTGCAGGGAGAAGGCTGGGGCCCAGGGATGCTTAGAGTGAGTGGTAGGGGTGCTTTAGGCTGCCTGACACCATCTTGCATCCCTGTCTGGAGGACAGGGTTTTCAAGCATCTGTATAGGGGGTTTGATCATTTAGGAATAGTAGCTTGGGCATGCTGAAGTCACGCCTCTCGCATCCCTGTCTGGAGGACAGGGTGCTGGCAGAGACCCAAGTGACACTCTCCTGCACTGAACATGCCACTGGCTGTGCAAGCCAGAGCAGGAACAGGGCTGGGATGAGCTCTGGGTGGGATGCAGGTTTAAAGACCCTGAACCAAGTAGTATCCTGAGATGGATGACAGACTGCCTCAGCATCCTGCCTGGGGACAGGGAGTCAAGCACATTCTTGTTCAGGAGCTGCTCTTGTCTTTCCATGCAACCCAGGAGAGCAGCCACCCATGATTTTGACTCTCACTCCAGCATGGGGATAACAGCTCAGTCTTCCTGGAGCCACTTGCAGGATCTGGAGGAGGCTGTTTTGCTTCTCATCCTGAGAGGTCCCCCGTTCTGGCTTTCCTAGCGCTACCATCTCACATCTCTCCTTCCCCCTCCATATCAGAGCCCTGCTGCTTTTGCCCACCACTGCACCCATACCAGCTGGCTGCCTGCTATTTGTGACAGTTGGAAGGTTTATGCCCCTTTTCTCCACTCCAAATTAAGTAGAGACTAAACTCATTTACACTTAGGATGCTAAAGTTTGCATCAGGTTGTCTGGGGGAGCTGAACTAACACCCTAAAGTCATAGAATCATAAATTGGTTTGGGCTGGAAAGGACCTTAAGATCATCTAGTTCCAACCCCCCTGCTATGGGCAGGGACACCTCATACTAGACTGTGTTGCCTAAGGCTCTGTCCAACCTTGCCTTGAATACCACCAGGGATGGAGCATTCACCATTTCTTTGGACAACCTGTTCCAGTGCTTCACTACCCTCATAGTCCTTTGGCTTTTTGTGCCTGCACCTAGAAGAGTCTGGGCTTTGATGGGCTTGGTATGGTTTTAGGGTAGATCCTTTCCACTGCAGCTGCTTTGCTGCCTGTGGAGGGGCATGGGTGGCAGGGTTTCAATGGTCCTTGCTTTAGACTGGAGGTTTGCTGCAGGGCAGATAGGCAGACCCCACCATCTGGCTATGTTGTTTGATCCCGTTCCCTGTGGCATCGCAGCTGTGGGGGCTAATTCCTGTGCACAGGGCCATCGGCATCCCACAGAGTAAGAGCAGGGCCCCACCCTTGCCCTCAGCATCCCATTTTGGGAAGCCTGAGGCTTACAGCAGTGCAAGCAGGAGAACAACAAGGCCCTGTAAAATTAAATAGCACCTGGATCTGACTCTTCCGTGCTCTCAGGATGTGCCATCATTGGAAATGACTCCTGAAAGGCCAGAAGGGAGAGGGCATAGGTTTGTATCTGCTCACCTCATTCCTCCCAGTATCATGATGTGAGTGACAGAGGGTGCTCCTGACAGCCTCTTTCCCCATGCTTTGTTCTCACAAGCACACAGCAGCCAAACTGGAAGGTTCCACTTATTTTTTCTCTATATCACCCCAGAGTGAGCATCTCCAGCCTGGCCATGGATCCTGATGTGAAAGCACACACAAATGAACACAAAAGTGCATACACAACTCCCCATGCAAATTTGCATGCACACCCCCAGATGTGCATAGTTACCATGTACCAAATGCATGCACATCTCCGCAGACACACCACACCCAAAGGGTGTGATACTACACATGGGTGGGGTGTCATCCATGTGCAGCATCTCCTCCCATAGCAGAACCAGGGTGCAGCTGAGCAGGTGGCTGCAGGCACCAAAGCTGCTGTGTTTCCTGCATGCTCTGGTCTGGCAGTTAGAGCAGCTGCTTCTAACTGCAGACACCCAGCACTGCCACCACTGCCAGTACCAAAATGCTTTGCCAGCTCCCTGGCATGATACCTGAGCTGCAAACTCCAGAGAGCAGAGCTCATCCCCCATCCCATGCTGGGGTCCTGGTGTTGGGGAAGGGTCAGATCCTGGTGGAAGACCTCAGGGAGCTGATCCCTGTCAGTATCTGCAGAAAGCTGGAGGTGTGACTTCAGCATGCCCAAGCTACTATTCCTAAATGAGCAACCCCCCTATACAGATGCTTGAAAACCAACCTGGTTCATTATATACCCTAGCCTTGATTATAGGTGATTGGGAACAACATGTGAGCAAGCATACCTTAAAGAAACCTGAGCCCCAAAACCAGAGAACTGGGCAGGCAGATGGGCTGCTGGCAGCAGCGTCTTCAAAGAGAGCTATGCCATGGAGCAGCAAAGCATTATTCCTGCAAAATGGGACATTGCAGATGCTGGGGTGGGGAGGAGAAGGGGCAGCCAGGTTATGTGGCAGTAAGGTCACTTACAAGTAAGCACTCTCCTGGTCACTGGGAGGTCTCAGCTGTGTTTCAGCTTCGGAGAGGTTGGGCTGGAGGTACTGCAGTATTTGGCTTCCGGGTTAATAGCATGATCTGTGGGCTACTGGACAGGTTGCCTGGACCCCTAACCATGCCAGCTTGCACAGCCCTGGTGTGTCCTCAAGGGTCCAGGCCCACTGCGTCTCCTCTGTCCTGTCCCACTAATAGCCTCACCCTGTTGCCAAGCCTGCTGTAGGCTGACAGAACACTCGCATTTCCTCCTGCCACCCTCATTTTGCTTTCTTTAGTTTTGCTTTGAATCAGCTCCAGGGTTTCTCCTTCTCTCTCTTCCTCTTTTTGGTGGGATATGCTGCTCCCTTTGGTGGGATGTGGTGGTGCCAGCAGGCCAGATGCTGGTGCGGGGCTTCTGTCCGGCCCTGCCCATCCCACTGCCCTAAAGGCCAAACCCACCACCCATGGCAGAGCCTTGTTGGAAGGGGCTGAGCTTTCTCCTGATGCCTGGACGGGCCATTGTGAGGCCCAAGAGGCCATGTGGGGTGGTACCTGCACACATCTTCACATCTACCTCCTTCCTTAAATCTCTCCCCATTCCCCAGCATCCCCCTCCACCCCAGAAGTTCAGGGCAATGGGGCAATGAATCCTCTCTACAGATCAGCTTGGGCATATCCCTATTTCCAAAGGACCTGATGTCCTTTGCCTCAAATCCATCCTGAGAAAAGTGGAACCCCCTACTCCAAAGGCTTGACTGAAGACAGTCCAGCCTGGAAGGGAACCTACAGCCATCACTTGCCCCTAGAGGCAGTGGGTTTCACTGTGATGGAGTGACCACCATTCACCATCAACAGTGGCAAGGTTGGAGGGGGACAGGGGTACAGAGAGCTGTCATGGAGCTGTGTCCCAGGAGGATACAGATGCCCCATTCACTGGCTGCTTCAAGAAAGGAGAAAAAAAAGAACCTGAGAAACTCTAGATGAGTCAGCCTGCCTCGGTACCCAGAAAACCACTGGAGCAAATTAGTAAGGACACCAAGCAGTAAACACTGAGAGGGCAGTGCTGGGGCTGAGAACACAGGTTTAGCAGGAACATGTTGTGTCAAACCAATCTCATTTTCTCTTCATTAGGGCTGGGTACTGCAGGGAAAGCAGGAGCGATGCTATCTCCATGCTGCCTTACATGACATTCTTATAAGCAAATAGGGGAAATGGGAAATTCTACCACTGTGGGTGGATGGCTACCCACATGAGCTGTACGCCATGAGCAGTTATTACTAGCATGTGACAGCAGGCATATCAAACAGGGTTTTTCTGGGGAAGCATGGCTCAAATGAAGGCAACACACTATTGAGGGAGGGTGTAGGGGCCATCTGGGAGAAGGGTTAGAAATCAAATTCACCCTGATGACCTAGAGAAAAGAGCAAAAATGCCCTGAAAGAATGACTGATGGAAAAGTATTGGGCGTGTGTAGTGCAGGAAGAGATGAGGGAGGTCTTCAGAACGGGAGAAAAGCCCCAGTACGAAGCAAACAGTGAAAGGCAGAGAAGTGTTCAGAGTTACACCCTGTTGCTCGGATGGCAGAAAGAACTTTGGGAAACCTGCCTCCTCTCACACAGGCAGCGCACCCAGGGGTGGGAGCTGAAGTCAAAAATCATTTCAGGCAGTGCAAAAGCAGCAGGGAAATTACCACCTGGGCTGCATCTTGTGTTTGTCTCCTGCAGGCACCCTACGGAGCAGCCACAACCAACATGCTGATATGGAGAGGATCTGTCTCTGGCAGAGTCTGTCCAGCCCACTGTCAGCGCGCTGGGGCTATGACACGGCTTTTCCCTGGTCCGTGCCGGGCTGTGGGGAGACCTGCAGGAGCAGCTTTTGTTTCCAGGCGGGTGCCAGTAGGCGGCGAGGTGCTTGGGCAGCGCCGGGAGATGTGTGTGAAGTGGAACAGGACATAAAAGCACTTTCAGCTCCGTGGGTGGTTCTGGGAAAGTCCCTTTAGTAAAAGCGAGTCAAAGGCTTAAATAGCGGGACCAGCACCAGTCTCAGAGATGACTGCGAGGCCTTGGCACATCGTGAGTCGTGATCTGAGCTGTGTTCCCATGATGTAAGGGGGGACTGGTTTCCATCACAACTGGAATGGAGGCAGGGACCTGTCCCCACACTAGGGATGCCACCGGACCCCTGTTGAGCAGTGTGCCTGAGGGGCAGCATTTTGCCCCCTGGGATGGGCAGTGTGGGGAGTGGTGCCTGCTCCATGGGGAGCATCCTTCTGCCCTGTGGCAGTAGCCTCTGGAAGGAAAAGCTGGGCTGAAACTGCAGATTCCCCAGATGAAGTGATCTGTTTGTTTGGGTGAGTAAGAGAGTGCTAGGAGAGAGGGCTGCTTCTCCTCCTTGAGACAGCTTTAGGTGTTCAACACGTGTGGCTGCCCTAGAAGTAAAGGGGAGATGTCAAAACCTTCAACTTTTTCCTGCATTTAATCCCCCCTGCCCAGAGTAAATCTCAGCCCCTAACACAGAGGGGCCCAAGGGGATGTGCAGATGCTGCAGGGTTTTCCCTTCCAGCAGCAATAACCAGAAGCTTCCTGCCAACCTGTGGTTGCTGGGACCTATGTTCATTGCCTGCCTCCCTCTTGGGATCTGGAGGATGAGCCTGATGTACTGGTGCCTCTCAAGACCTCACAACCACTATCGCCTGCTGCTGGCAGTCACCATGCCACTCTCATGTGGACACAGGTACTGTCACCTGCATCCTCAGCAATCCCACCTCCTCAGCCAGCTCCACGGCAGGACCAGCCACTGTCCCTGCTGTCTGGGGCTCCCAGGCTTTTAGGGTGTTAAGCCAGAAGAGCTGCCACAGGGACAGGCTTTATTTGAAGGCAATGTGAAGTATTTTAAGCCTGATTCACAGATCCTTATACCCATCTTTAAACAGACGTCTGTCCTGCTGCAGACTTTAATATCCTACAGTTTTTGCTTTAAACTCTCCCTGCTTCTGGGAGCCTGAGTGGTGCTCTGGACACTCAACATGAGGGACTGCCATAACTTTCCATGGTGGCTTCATCCTCAGCAGTCACCTGGCACATTTTTCCAAGACTAGGCATTTTTTGGAGTTTCGTGCCTTTTCTGTGCATAGGATGGTCTCTGAAAGCGTCATGCTAGATGTCTCGGCTTTATAGAATCACAGAACAGCCTGGGTTGGAATGGGCCTTTAAGGTCATCTAGTCCACTCCCACTGCAGTGAGCAGGGACATCTTCAGCTAGATCAGGTTGTTTAGAGCCCCATCCAGCATGACCTTGAAAGTTTCCAGGGTTAGAGCATTCACAACTTCCTTAGGCAACTCGTGCCAGTGTTTCACTGCCCTCATTGTAGAAATTTTCTTCCCTATATCTAGCCTAAATCTACCCTCTTTTAGTTTAAAACCATTACTCCTTGTCCTATTGCTACAGGCCCTGCTAAAAAGTTTGTCCCCATCTTTCTCATAAGCCCCCTTTAAGTACTGAAAGGCCTCAATAAGGTCTCCCTGGAGCCTTCTCCAGGCTGAACAAGCCCAGCTTTCTCAGCCTGTCTTCACAGGAGAGGTGCTCCAGCCCCCTGACAATTTTTGTGGCTGTCCTCCGGTTCCTCTCCAACAGGTCCATGTCTTTCCTCCAGAACTGTATACAAGACTCCAGGTAGAGTCTCACCAGAGCAGAACAGAGGGGCAGAATCACCTCTTTCGACCTGCTGACCACACTCGTTTTGATGCAGCCCAGCATATGGTTGGCTTTCTGGGCTGCGAGTGTACACAGTGCCAGCTCATGTTCAGCTTCTTACCCACTAGTTCCCCCAAGTCTTTCCCTGTAGGGCTGCTCTCAATTTTCATGGCAAGCTGAGCTTGCCTTATCAAGCGGCAGATCTTCCTCCAACTCAAGAGCAGTTATCATTTGGCATCTTATCTAACCTGCTCCTTGTCTTGCATTGCTCTCCATGGGATGTCCTGGGGGACCTGAGCGGTAAGCTGGAGGGCAGAGGGCTGCAGGCAGCCCTGGTGCTCCCAGCTCAGAGCACACCTCGCCTTTTTCAGTTTTATGTGTGTTACTATCCTCCCCAACTTTCCACCCTGCAGTTTCATGTCAGGCCTTTTCCTGCTCAAGTTGACTAAAAGGTGTTAAAAACAGCCTGTATTTGGTGGCAGCTCTTGAGAGAGGTAAAGCCGTCAAGTCCTGTGTTTTCAGTGGGTTTCATTTCTATTATTCCTATTCTGGGCACAATCTCAGCTGGTTCACCCCCACTGCCATGATAGAGATAGGCACGGGCAGCCTGGCAGGGGATTTTCTTTCAGCCTCTGTGCCTACATATAGACAGAGCAGCATCATGAGTGCGCAGCTTCAGTGGGGGTGGGAGTTTGTGTGTGGGGCTTTGTGAAACCCTCTTTTGTCCTTGCTTTGGAGGACATTTCATCTGGTCAAGATGTGGTGTAGTGTCAGCAGAGCCTGTTGACGCAGGGATCAGGATGGGGTGTTGCTGCTCACGTGGGAGCAAAGGTTCTCCTCTCCAAGCACAAATATGATGTTCAAAGAGGATATGTTTGGGGAAAAGACTGTTGCATGCATGTATTAGTACTCAGAAGCTGCAAGCTTGAACCACAGGCTTGGTCACTGCCTCTTCCCCAGCTCCAGGTGGGACCATGAGGACCTGGCAGGACATTTTTGCAGAGAAGATTGCAGATAAATGCTTAACAGAGCCATGGACGCTTCAGAAGGATGATACCCTGCAGGTGCATGTCCTCAAGACTGGCTGGAAGGAGTTTGTGCAGGGCCGTGCTCCTGGGAGGTAGGGGGCTGCTGGCTCAGTCCCTGTTGGAGCAGGACCAGGGACAATGGGCTGCCATGGCAGACCTTTCCCTTTCTCAAAGTTTGCTTGTAGGAAAAGCTTTTTATACAAAAGGGGCAGTTTGGAGGTGGGTGACGCTGGGAGGGGTTGTCCCCTTTTGTTCCAAGCTTGGTGGGTTATTGCCAAACTGGAAAAATCATGGTAATTGGAGGGGAGGAGAGAGCAGAAGCTCCACAAGGCCAAGGGGCAACTGGTATTTGGCCAGTTTCTCCATGTTGGTGTCAAGATACAAAGAGCTCCTCCAGTGAGCAGAGGTAGTTATACCACACTTGAACCAAATCTGGGTTTGCACCCAGAGGATGAGGATGGGGAAGCCTCTGTCTGTTGGGACATGGGGCGATGCATCAGCAGCCCCTGCACCCACACCAGGCTGCAAGGTCGCACAGCAGAGAGATCTGCATTGCTGATGAGAGGCTCTATCCCAACCATTTCCACCCTAGGCAGGACCCTGGGCATCAACCAGCCACCCTGCCCAGGTGGCAGCAAACAGAGACCTTGACTGCAGCCCCCACACAGATGGTGCAAGACAAAGCGTTGTGGGTTGCACACCTTTTGATTCCTCAAGACATCTCCTCACCTGCCCTGCAGGCTCCACCCACACCTTCCTTCTATTTGTCTTCTTTTTGTTACTTCCCCGGCCCTGAAATTAATGTTGGCTTTCCGCTGAGATGTGATGAGCTGGCATGGGTGAGCGGCTGGAGCCCCAGGTAGACCAGGGCACTGATGCTTCCCACCCCAAGGACCCCTGCTCCTGGCAGTGGGGCCATGATGAGCTAACAAAGGGGACCAGGATGGTGCCACCAGTCATCCTGGCTCCTAAGATCTTTAATGCTTGGGCCAGTCCTGAGCTCACATCTGTGTTGAACTCCCCAGAGTGGCATCATGCTGTTAGGGGGAACACAGGTCAGTGTAAAGCTTGCATGAGCGAAATGAATCCATCAGACTTGGCTGCCCTGGTCCCTGCTGACTGGGTGGGAAGCCGCTGGCTCAGCACAGGGAACCTAGCATTAGCTGACCTCTTCTGTGCCCTGTCAGGTTTCAGTGCTCCCAGTACTTTCAGGAGTGGTCTTCGGCCAAAGTTCATGTCCTGTTCCATATGCACTAGTGCCAGGGCTGGGGCATGGTGTGTATGGCGAGCCTTCTGCCAGGCTTGCAGGTGGTGCCCTGGCCCCCAGCTGTAGGAGCCTGAATTCAGCCTGGAGACTGTGGAGAGGCTTCTGCACAACCTGGTGCTAAAAATCCTCAAGTATTTCTACCATGTGCGCATTCAGCCCTCTGACCTCCTGGAAGTTGTGGTGGATGTACTGGTGACAGGGCTGCATGACAGCGCCCACTGCGAGGGCTGCCAGCTCGGCATTTGCAGTGAGTCACAGCTGGCCCTGGCGTCGGACGCCTGGAAGCCCTTGATGGATGCACACAAGGCCAGGACCCATCATGCTCTTATGAGGCCTTATGCAACCCCAACCCACCACCCCACATGCTTCAACAGCAGCTTCTCCTGGAAATGCTGTTGCTGGATCGGCAGCTCCTTGGTCTGTGTTCTGGCAGTGCTCCTCTTTGTCCTGTTTTATTTCACCTACAAGTAGTGGGAGCTTGCAGAGAGGAACTGGGGTGGTTGCTAGGGAGTTGCTGGAGTGCCTGGAAAATTGAGTACCCAAGGTCAGTCCTCATTTGTGGCATATTGAGGCTTCCCCAGCTCCTGGGAGCATGGGTGCACAGTGGGGTGCCTCAGCCAGGCACCTCATCGCACAGTCTTGGGAAGCCTGGTGGGTTTGATGGTTTCTTATGGGACATTTTGCATAAGGACGACCCTCAGCTGCCCCATGCAAAGGACAAGTGTACTTGCAGGAATAAAACAAGCCTTTTCTCCTCAGTCCAAGGATGTATTTGTGCTTTTTAATTTCTCCAAAGCCTTTTTTAGGTACTTGTGAGCAGCTCGGAGGGAAGCTGAGGGCTGCCTTTACTCACCTCCTGGTGTCAGCTTCCAGGGAAGCACATTCCCATTCTCCCCTGCCTTAGGAGCTTAGGGGCACCTGGAGCTCGAGGTCTGCAGCAAAGTCATGGGGAGCTGGTGCCCATGGTCACTGGCACTGCCTCCTGTGAGCTATGTACACAGCATCTGCCCTGGTCCTGTGCATCCTGGGTGTCACCAGAGGTCAGGAGATTGCTTCATCCTCCAGAAACATCTGGGTGCTGAGCTTTTACAAGGGGACTCTTTATTAGGGAGTATCATGGAAGGACGGGGGGTAATGTTTTTAAACTGAAAAAAAGTAGATTTATATTAGATATTACTGTGAGGATGGTGAGACACTGAACAGGTTTACCAGAGAACTCGTGGATGCCCGACTTTGACAATGATGAAGATGGACATGGTAGAAAAAGATTTCATGGCTGAGTTAATGGAATAGAGATGGGCTGAAGGAAAAGCAACAACCAAACCCAGCATCACCAGTGCAGCTTGCACAGCATCAAGCCTTTACACTGCTCACCGTGGGTTTGTTTTTTTGCTGGTGTTTCTCCTTAATTTTCATATATACAACCTGCAGGCTATTGGTTAAAATAATAGAAGAAACAAGAAAACCCTGTGTGATCCAGGGGCCGTGTAGGTTTTGTTTCTTAAGCATTCTGTCCTGCTTATCCCACCAACTCTCCTCTTCCCCAGCGCCCTACCTCCCCTGCAGCCCCTGCAGCCCTGGCCAGGAAGCCAGCAGGTGGAGCTGCGAGATCTCCGGCACTGCAGTGGAAGCACTGAGACCAGTGACCGCCAGCGCTGGGACACGCCAGCATTCCCCAGATGGGGGATACCCTCCCTGCCATCCCTGTGCCCAGCTGTTTCCCTCTAGCGTGGTCCCCCCATACAATTTTCTACGTGGTTACAGTCCTGGTCTGTGGGTGGAATGGTCTCTCACTGTGATTTTCCCGTCTCAGAGCACTGGAGGTGCACACATGATGCAAAGCACGGGGTCTCAAACCTTTACAGAACCCCAGCTCTTCCTGGGGGACAGTGGTGCCACGGCAGCAGGGCTGGGGACCAGCGTGGCGCCACCATCAGGGACTTCCTCAGGAAGGAGAGTCAGCATCACCTGTCCCCCTTGGAGTGAATATCAGTGATCTCCAGACCATTTTTGGCATGGGAACAGTGGCTGAGGGAGTGCTTGGGAGCCAGAGGGTCTCGTGTCTGAATGGACCTGTCTTTCTGGAGCAGGTCTCTCCTTGCTTGGGGTGGCTGTGTCTGAGTGGCTTTGCTGTGGTGAAGGAGGCTGATCGGGCAGCCTGGACCAGCACCCTGCCCTCTTGTGTGGCTTTCTGCGCTGGGAGCAGCCTGCCCTCTCCTTGCCGGCATTATGTCATGAAGCAGAGACACGGCAAAGTTTCTTGCTGCCGCTGCCCATAGCCCTCTCCTTTCCATGCTGAGGTTTTCCCAGCCCCAGTCATCATGTCTGGCTGGCTGCAGCCTCTCCAGCCACCCTGCTGCTGAGGGGGAACTCTCTCGCCTCTGCCTGGGAAGGCAGCTCTGGTAGGAGACCACAGCCCTGTAGGGGTACTTATTTTATTGCTTGAGTCTTTCTGCTCTTTTACAATGGCAGAGTCATTCCCTGCAATGCCCTCTGCACACGCCATGTGCTCCCCCACGTGTGGCCTTGCATATATATGCTGCTTTTCCCCTGGACCCCGCCCTGCTGCTGCCAGTTTGCCTGCTTGTCTCTTCATGTTGTGCATGTATGTCTCCTCCATCATGCAGTCTTCATCCCCTCGTGTGTAGTTCTCAACCACACTTTCATTTTTGGGGTCCTTCCAGGATGCCCCTCTGATGGGCGCAACATGCAGTTGTGCCCATCTCCTACTTGTTTCTTAGTAAAATGCCCTCCCTCAAAGTGCTGCTTTTTGTGGCTCTTGGCACTTTTGGACCCCAGAGCAAACCCTGATGGCTCAGCCCCTTAGGATGGTGAATGGTGGCCAGCGCCTCAGCTAAAGTGGGGACAGTAAGCCCATTTCCAGGGCTGAAGGATGAAGGATGCTCTCTCTCCCCATGGATCCTGGGCTTGTCCCTCAGCTGTCTCCCCTGGTCCATCTCAGGTTGGGCTGTGCTGCAGCCAACTCTCGGCTCATGCCTGGCCTTCACATCTAGCCAGGGAGAGGCAAACCTCACCAAGGGGCGTTTTGCTGACCCTTCACTGCAGCCAGCCTGATAAATGGCTTTCTCCACGCCTGTCTCCCTGGAGAGAAGCTCTCACCACTCTGGCAGGTTGCGAGGTGCCAGCAAATGCAAATGGTGGTTTTTGCTCTTGCTTCTCTCCTCTGGTGACGTTTCCCAGCGCTGCCTGCAGCCAGCCGCAGTGACTGCAGGGCAGGAGGGATTTGCATTCGCACCACAGCAGTTTGGTGAGCTGGGGATGAGGGCTGGGTTGCTTTGGGGTTTTCCCGGCAGAGCTATTGACGGGAGGCACAGAAGAGTCTGTATTATGACTGATCTATTATAGTGCAGCAATAGTTTTTAACTTGCCTTGGAGCTGTCTAGGCTCAGATCCTACAGTTGGTGGTTTAATGCTCAGGGAAACATGCCCTGATCTTGACGTTTCTCTCTCCTCCCCTTCATCCCTTGGATGTCTCTGGACATGTTAGCAGACCCATGAGTAAGCGAGCCAGACCCATCACCCTTCTCTGTGCAGTCAACTCAGAGGAGCCCAGTGCTGCTATTTCAGTTCTGTGCTGTAGGAAAATAGGGATCAATAACCCATCTTTCATACACATATGTGTATGTACCCAAACACATGGTAGAAAACAGTGCCCACGGTTTCAAGCTGGATTTTCACAGCCTGTGATGCAGAGATGTCCTGCAGAGCTGTGTCCCTGTCTCAGCTCCCATCTGCCTGCTGCAGAGTCTGTGCTATGAAGATGCTCTCTCTCAATCCAACATCTAGTGTGGATGGGCTGATTCTGCACCCTTTTTAAAGCAAAACTAACATGCTTGTTATTTTTTCTGTATGTCAGCTTAACCCAGATTTAATTGCTATTCCCAGCAAACACGTTGCTGCACTCTCCTCCTGCCACTGCCCCTATCTTCAGTGAAGTGCTAAGATTATAAATAATTGAAGGGCAGAATCTCATCTTCTGCCAGCTTTTGCAATTTGTATTCCTGGATGGTCGGGGCCTGTCTCAGTCCATGAAGCTGTGTGGGCCATGGCTGAACAGCCGTCAGGGCAAGGGACAGTGTGAGAATCCCCCTGGGAGCACAGGCGCATGTGGCAGGGACTAGCAAACAACATCGACCATATTCCTCTTGGAATAAAAGCCTCAGGGCACAAATTCAGTACATATCAAAGTTTTATTTTGCTCTCAGGATGAAGGTTACACAGAACCATCCTTACGTGACATCGGATATTTTACAGAACGTAGTATCAAAAAAGACATATATATATATTTGTATATATAAAAATACCTTGCAGTTACATGACATAGCCAAGAGTACAGTTCTTAGTGTGTCTCCAAGTTTAATCTTCCTTAGGCCTTGTGCTCCTCTGCATGCTTTACAAAATGGCTGAGTGGATCATTCACTGTTGTCTCTTTCATTGCATGGCAATACCAAAGGATGTGGAGGAGGACAGGTCCAAAAAGGCTACAGGCATGCAGAGAAGACAGCAGGCAATTTTGCATGTTGGTTACAGCTATAGGAAAGCTTTGCTGGCAAGTGAAGGAGATTGTCCTCACTGAATGAAAGTCAGCTCACCTGACCTTGTTCCTTGGTGGGGTTTACTTGTTTTATAGACCATGGAGAGAGGCTGGGAATATATGAATATTTCTGGTGTGATAGGGGAGATATGAATACTTCTGGTGTGATAGGTGAGTTGGGGTCAGTCTAGAATGACTTGGACACCTGCAATAGGCCAGTAGATTCATAAACAAACACTGAATACCATCAGTAACCTGTAAATCAGCCAAACCAATGGCCTTAAAAGCAGTTAAAAGGGATAAAGTTCTTGCAAGAATGAATGCACTGCCATGCAGGACTACCCAGGACCCTCAAAAGGTGAAATTACAGGAAGGACATTTTGTCTGAAATGATTCTGCTGAAAATAAGCATTGCTTATGTAGAACAGATGTAATGCTTGTCTTGTGTGTTGGAAAACTTTCCTTAGGAGGACTGCTGTGGCTGGAAACCATTCCAAGAGCTAGACTGGAGGAAGACTGGAGAGGGCTTGAGATGATAGAGGGTTAGAGAAGTTCTAGTGGATGGAGGTGTGTGTTACAGTGAATCCAAACCCCGCTCCCTGTCCTTGTGTCTCTGTGGGACATCCATCCCACATGGTGGGATAAGGGTAGCCCATATGAGCTGGTGTTGTCTTGGCAGCCATAGCTGAAGTTTAGGGCTAATGTGGATACTTCCTCACGTCCCTGGGGCCAGGTCGACATCACCTGAGATGCCATGGGCAGGGATGTTTGTTTGCAAATAAAAATAATAGCAAACCCTCAGAGCTGTCTCATTACTCCTTCCTTGCACAGAAAAAGTGTTACACAGTGTGGGGGACCTATGAGATCCAACCCTGCCCAGTTGGGTTTTCTGCACTGTCTGTAGCCTCTGTAGCTCCTGCAGCTGTGTCTGATGGGAAGATCTGGCTGGAGAGCCTGGGTGTGGGGACAATTCTCTGCACAGCCCAAAGCTTTGGTGGCAGGAAAATGCTGCCTTCATCACTGTGCCTTTGTCCTGGCTTGGAGGGAGGCTCCCCAGGAGTGTGGGTGAGGTTTGCAGATGGGCAGCACAAGCTGAGGATGCCGGCTGAGACCTTGACCTTCTCTCCTTTCCTCCAGCTTCCTAGCAAGCATTTCCTAGGAGTGCAAGGAAAGGGATGCGGGACCTAGCAAAACAAAAGATGTGGAGTGCTGGCAAAGGCCTGGCGTGCG